TCTCAAGAATGGAAAAACACACATACACTTTGGTCTGGATATCGCCAGCTCTGTCTGTGATCTTATGAGACCAAAGAACAGTAATTACAGTAAATGTTTGGGACAACACAAGGAGAAAATCAACAAAGAAGAATAATTCAGATGACAGAGATAGCATCTGTGTTGAAGAAAGAGGTTGTTCATTAAGTCAACCACACCCCAAAACTTGCCATCAACATACACCAACACACCAAACTTAAGCAATCAATGCAGATTATATAACTTTTGATACAACAACTTGTGGGAAAGAAAATAAATAAACTGTGTGTGCTTTTTTGAAATCTTGGTCAACATTTTACCCAGTTTGCTTATCTGAGGTTACCATCTCCAAACCACTGTGTGTTTAATTGGCACCATGTCTTATCCTCTGCCTGACTTCCTTCTGTCTTTACTTATTTCACTTTAGGCCCTTTCCCATCCTCCTTTCTCGTAAGCCCACAGACATGCTGCCAATGCAAGTCAATTACACAAATGGTTTTATTCTCGCTTTCTATTATACAGGCATTTATGACAGACTTAAGCCATTACACTAAGCTGTGTATGAGTGTGTATGTGGAAGGCTAAGCTAATTAGGTATCGCCTGTGGCAGTGCCAGCAACAATGGTAGACCAGGGAGAAATATTAGAGAGATAAGGCTGAGCATATCAACATAAAAACATGCACAAAGATTATACTGAGCAAAACTAGACACTGCGAAAATGCAGACCAACTATGAACCCTAGCTCAGAGATCTGATATCTATGACTCCTCCAGCGCCTCCAGGGAATCCAGAGGGACTCACTCCTCCCAGTTAAGGTGACCTACCCATCTTTGTGGCCAGGATCTGAATCCATATAAACACATGTATATTTATGCGTCCTCTTAAAGGGCCCACATTACCCTATTTTCTGATCTAGGTTGTAATGTTGTTTCCTCATTACAAACACACCTGGAGTTGTGTTTTGTTTCATTCACACACTTTTAATTCACAAAACCTATATATTTAGGCTGAATTCTTCTCTCAAACAGAAAACATTTTCTTCCACCTTGTATAGTCATGTAGTAATACAAGAATACTGCGTTTTTGAGCTCCATGCACCATCACTAAAATCATTTGAATAATTTCAGCCCTGATGAATGTCTGAGGGACCGAAAAGTTGTATCAATAAAAGAAAGCCAGGAGTGAGACAGTGTGTGGGAGTTTTCCTGAAAACACATAATTTCAACCCTCAAAATACCAATCTCTACTGAACTGAATGGTAAAAGGCAGGTGTTAAGTTGAAAACTACTGCTTATATAGGACTTTTAAATAAAGTGAAAACTATTTAACAGTAAAATGACTTTTGCATTACTTATGAAATAGAATATTTACATTCTTATTTAGTCGCAAAACAGATGGGTAGAAAATGTGAAGAGAATAAATTACTCCTACACATAAGACACAACAAGGCAGTTAAATGCATGCTTTATTACAACTCGCAGTACCAAACAGGCTGCAAAACAGAACAACCAAAACTTTAGGCAACTATAAAACCACAATAAATCAAAAATTACTCTCATTTTTGGAGGTAAATCAGGGTAGAGCCAGTGTAGCATTTAGCAGGTACATACAAATCCAATATATGTGTGTGTGCATTGTAACCTCATGATGATAAATGACATCTACAGCTTACAAACAATATAGCACGTACAAGAGCATCCTTCCTCTATGGTCAAATGAGTGAGCTGGTATAAAAGTCTCATTCAACAATGTGTCTTCTTGACCACTGTGCTCTCATTTGTCGTGATATTTCACACAGCTTTCAACAGCAATGCAAAGTTATTATTAAGAGCAATTATATGAAAAGGTAATGAAAATGTCTGCGTTGTCACACCAAATTTTATATACATATGACTCCTTCTATGGCATGACCTTTCTAAGCCATTGTACATATAAAAGAGAAAAGGATAGCCAACAGTGTGCCTATGAGTTGTTTTTATATCTGTTACATTGAAGCATGAGTTTTTATATAAATCCTCAACCAAAACTCATTTAATTTCTTTTTGTAAAGGTGGTATTGCTTTAAGATAATATTAACCTTTATATGTGCTACTATGGGGAATTTAATTTAAGGGAGTAGTAAAGGAGGAAGGATTGTCACTTTTGATCAGCTAAATGTGTCGATGAGAGGGTATAGGATCGGCTTTAGCAGAGGCAGAGCTTGTTCTTATGATGTAACACATGGGTCAGGTTGAGTACACAGGAAAATAGGCCTTATGTTGCAAATGTGACAAGAAACAATGAAAAGCATAATGGACTCCAGGAATATACATCCACATGTCCCCACACACATATTCCATACAGGATCCAAAAAGGAAACATCTAATACCGCATTAGGAGAAACACAGCAAAAGACATGTAACACTCATTTTTTATAAAGGGAAGTTGCTCGAGGGAGGCAATAAAATGCACTGAAACCAGCTCTCATCTGTCACTGCTTATTGCACCACTGCAGTGTGACCAACACACACTTCTCATACACTTACTACTATAAGCTCCACGCTCCTCTGTCTTTCTTCCCCCCTCTTTCTACTCTCTCTACCTTTCATTTCCCCCCTTTCTCCCACATCCCTTGCTTACCCAGCTTCCCCCTCTTTCTCTTTCCCCTCCCTTTGCCCATCTCGCCTCTCACTGCCCCCCTTCTCCTCTCTCTCTCAACCTCTCTCCCTCTCTCTACTTTCTCTGTCTCCCCTCTCACTTTCTCTCCCTGAGTCTCTCACACTCTCATTCTCCTCTCTTCCCCCTATTCCCCTCTCCCCTCTCTCTATCCACTGTACCTCCACTGGCCCTCCTGGGGATATTAAGAACAGTAATGATGCTGTGTGCTTCTACTTCATGTGTGCAGAAGCTATTAGCATAAAGAACAATGTTTATAACTTCAGAGTACAAAAAAGAATACACTTTTAAGACCAAACACACATTATAATGAGCTATTTTGTTTAGCACACTGTAATAAAGTTCACATTTGTTATTTGTTATGTACCAGAGCCATTAAATAGAAAAAGAGCAAAAGGGCAAAGGGGGCAGAGGAGAGGTAAGCTGAGTGGAGTGGATAGAAAGAGAGAGAGAGTTTTACGTTATAGGAAGAATAATGAGCACATAGATGTAATGGGGGATTGTAGGACAGGAATAGAAAGGCCAGGGCAGTAGAGACGGGCTTACAGAACATGAGAGCAGACACAGCAAACAATATGTACATGAAAACATACAGAGAGCTGAGAGGAGGGATGCGGCTGACCAAGGCCATCTCACTTCTAAAGGTAAGTGAAGAGAACTGCCACAGTGCCTCCTATTGGCAGGAAATTAAACACCATGTTGGATACAGGGGCAGAAGTCTTGCAGAACATGAATGGCCAAGAGGAATTTCATATTTTATTTTGGAGGACAAGAATTTTAGATCCCCTCACCTGAAATTGGAAGATCATCAAAAAAGAAACTGAATATAACCTCAAATACCGACGGATTTATTTATTTTTTTATGGCTGATGCCGATATACTGTTGAGGTAGATAGTTTAGAATCCAGACAAACCGATGGCTGATAAGTTCTGCCAATATTTATAGGCTATGTATGAGTGATTTTTATAATTTTTCCCTACTTATGTAATTAAAATTTAATAAGACTCCAAAGCCCTCTTTTCACCACACACCCATAAGAGAGTAGCCTAGTCAAATTTTCAGCAGTTATCTCCTTGCTCTAAAGTGATCAAATAAAGCTCTACAATTATTTTTAGGCTGCAGGTCACCCAGAACAAATATCAGCCTGTGCCAACTGATATATCAACAGTAGGCAGTGAGAGCGGAGGTTGGAGAGGGTGTAGAGATCTTCAGTGAATTGTGGGAGCAGGGAAGCAATTCAATTAATCAAACGTTAGCAAAGATAGTAGATATGGTGGCAAATTAATTTACTTAAAGTAGCATTATAGAATCCAGTAGTTATCATCATAAATATGCTTTGAACTAAAAGAAATGCGGTATAATGGGACATAAACTGGACATGCTTCCATTCCTGACCTCTTAAATCTGTCTACCCTTCTTCATCTCACCGCCCCCCTCTCTTTAATCTACTCAGTGTTGTGGGCCTTTCATCCCTTTCAAAATGGAGGAGAATTCCCTCTGGTATCTCCAACTCCATTAATCAGCAGCTTTCCAGTTTTCTCAACGCTTCGACTAATTCTCGGAGCACACATCACTCACACAAATACACAAACAGCCTACAAGTCCGATCCGAGAGCGTTTCCAAATATATGTCATTTTGACCAGTTAAATCAAGCCCTGGTACATTTTCCCTTTGGTGCGTGCTTTCGTTTTTGCAGATGTAAACATGGCAATCACAAACAACTGCTGACTAAACCACTCCATTTGTTAAAAAGTGCTAAAAAAAAACAAAATAGAAGACCAATTAGTTTGTCATGGAAGAAACTAGCAACTTCAAATTACGCAGAAATCAGTAAGTCTTATGAAAACCACAGCCACAGCTACAGTCTTGGCAGCATGATTTGTGAAAAATATCACATTTCCAAGAATGATTTTTGTAATCGCGACAGCTGAAATTAGAATTTTGATTTGACAGTACAAAGGAGGATTTAAATTTTAAAAACCCATCTCTTGCATGTAGGGCTACGATTATAATCCTAATTGTGGCTCATAATTGAAATTACGATTATTTCAAACAAATTTGTGAATAAACTAAAGAATAGAGTGACTAGAAAAAAGAGATAAGTTATCTCTACGGGAACACAACCTGGGCCATGTAATGATTTTGTGGTTTCAATGTAACAAGAGCAGCTGGTGTGTTTTATGAGGATCAGACCTTGAGTTATTCTGGGAATAGACTCACAACGGGAACTCATCACAAATGCTGGGAAGATCCAAACACCAGATGAGAAAAATTATCAGATACAAACTAAACTTACAATGAAACTTTTTTGTTAAATGTCTTACCTTTCCCATGAGGCCCAGGGGGTCTTGACAAGAGGGGGGCAGAAATGATGAGGCTTGATCCAGTGTAGGGACTTCCTGTTGGAGATACAATTGTAACATGGATGCCAGCTGGGACAGACCTTCTTTCTTCTGTTCAGACATCGAGGTCAGATCTGTCAAAAAGGTTGATTTGTTTAACACACTTAAACATTCACACAGATGCAATTTATGCAGTAATTTAATACAAACTTACGTGATTTGTGTTCTTCGAAGGTGTAAAGTTCCTCACTATTGCCCTTAGAAGATGCACACTGTGGACACAAGATTCAAACTACGATTTTGCACTTTATTGCCATTTTTTTTAACTAGGCCTGAATAAGGATATTATATTATGTAATTTAATATTCTTGAAAATTAGCACAGTCTGAAATCTTACCATGGCAAAGATGATTCTTGCTGCTAGACGTACTGAGTCAGTGGGTATTCTGGGCAAGATACTCCTCAGACATTTGCACTCACTCTTATGGACAGACCAGGCTTGTTTCTGCAGCAAAAGACCATTCCAACAAATTGAAACTCAGAAAAAACTCACACACACACACACACACACACACACAAGAGGACACAAGTACATGTTATACCTGGCATGTGTTATTGCAGTAGTGAGCCATTTTACACTGGGAGCACCTCAACAAGGTCTCATGTCTGAAAGAGGGAGAAAAGGATTACTTCAATAGAGCAAAACGTGTCAGCAGAGATTTAGTGAGACAGGTGAGGAAATATATCTGAGACAAAATGCTAGCCTTTAAAAAAACCTCAAATGAAACCAGTCATTCTTACCTCACCCTTGGATGGTATAAACCTGTTGTTGATGTTTAAGGTAAGATATACTTTATTGTCCGTGGTCATTTCACCTCTGCATTTGATTTCTGGGTGAACTCCGCAATACAGCACTGGGCAAACAGAGCGCAGGAGAAGAGGCACTTACTCTAGCTGTAAACTTTGTAAGAAGACTAGAGTTTCAAAAGTATCTTCATGACATCAAGAATGAAATAGTGTGCTGGAGTCTTCTTAGAAAGTTTCCTCTGCATTTGACCCATTCTTCAATGCGGCAACTTGCAGTAGCACTGGGCAATAGCAGTGCAGCACCAAGCGTTGAGCTAGGCTTGGTCAGAACTATATAGCTGGTGGAATTGCTCTATTGTGTCAACTCTTCTTGTGTTATAAATGACGGCAAGACCTATATAGTACCAGTCATAGAATGTGTTGTTCAACAGAACAAGCCCTAGATGTGGAGTCTCTGGATATTAACTCATTACTAATGCGATATATGATCAATGGTGTGTATGGGGATCTTCAATCATTTTGAGGTGTGAAATATAATACAGGTTACTTTGATCAGTTGGGCAACAATCTATTTGCTCTTATACATGCCTCTTCTAGAGATCTCATCTATTTCCTGCTTGATCAGACTGTCATCTAAAAGGGAGTACATCAGACTCTTGTCTCACTGCCACAGTGCATCAAAGTCACTGAGCTCTATGGTCGTCCAATAGACTGCGAGTTCAATCTGCGTGTCTTCTTCTGGTGTTTTTGTCGCGCTGTGCATTTCCTGCTTCTGAAAGCATAGTGTTGCTTGTAGTGACACTGCTGTCCTCAGTTCTGCTGTCAGTCTGATAACTAGCCTGAGCCCAGTGACCGCTGGCTTCACTCAAGCCAATTACAGCCAGAGACTACCACTAAAGCAGCCAAGAAGGCAACTGACTAACATCCTAAGTGATACACAATCACATCAAGCAGTCCAGTGGAAAGTTTAAATGTAGAGATGCAACAATTAATGGATTATTCAGTGATGATTACTCAGGTCTCAACATGATCTTAAAAACTATTCATGAGGATTTCAGAAGCAAAAATAAGTGATATCAGCTTAATTTACTACCTACTTAATCTACTATCATAAATGTGGACGCGTGGAATAGTGAATGATGTGAAGAAAATTTAAAACAGATTTCACTGATAATAATAGTAATAGTGCTATTATCATGGTGTGAATAAACATAAATAATTGCAATAAAAATGAAAAATTCATATCACAACATCCAATCAAATCAATTTCAGCTTGTTTACAAATCTTAACCTAAAACAATATTATCTCTCACATTTGTAACAGATACTAGTATAAACATCAGAAAGGTAATTTTGACAGATGTTTCTTGCCTTTACATGATGCTGATTATTATGAGGTTAAGCACACACAAAAATTTTGGCCATTCTTACATCCATTATGAATTATGTCCTTTCTTGATACCTACAGTAGTGAGAACTAGCAACAACTATTTTTATAACTTGTTTCATCTTTACTGGAGTTAGTCAAATTGATATGATATTAGTTCGCTTACGTCACAGAGGGGTTTATATTCTATCTTAAAAGCTTCAACACAGATATATTCAGGTCGAGATTTAACTGAAAGAGGGAAGCCACCCACTGTTAAGGAAACACAGTCCTGCAATGTGGGTCACAAAGCAATAACAGCAGATAGGGGAGCTGTAAACAGGCTCTGTGCAGCTTCAACACAAAACATAATTCACACACTAACAGGTCCGCCACAGCACCACAGCCAACCACCACAGGAAGTCTATCCATCTTATATGACCGCAGATACGCTCATGTGGACCACAGCAGCTTTCAAATATTTACAACCTACTTTTAGCTCTGAAAACTATTAAGACAATTATAGAACAAAATCTTTAAAGCTATTATTAAAGATATAGACCTCTGGTTTATGATGATACACTGACAAATAAAAACTTGACTTTTACTTGGCCTGGAGGAGAGCCTCCAATGTATATTCCACACTATGGTATCATGTTGTATTTCCACGGAATAATGCAGTTGATTTTCCACCTCCAGAAAGTTACATTCTATCACTTTAAATACAAGGGTTGTTAAAAATGTACAAACGACAAACAATGGGACAGAATGGGGAGGACAATATTGACAAAAAATAATAACTGCATTACAAGAACACCTCAGCACATCTGAGTAGGCGAGTGGTGCGTAAGAAAATCAGTATTTCCCTTGCAGGAAAAAGAAAGCTCCCGCACACATTTATTACTTAAAACATTTCGGTCTAATGACTATATACCATACACATATACACCTACTATATAACTACTGTATACAGGTATCATGTATATCACCATGTATATCATATACCTGAAGAAGGTTTTTGTTTTTAATCAGCTCTTCTTGTAGCATTCTAATTTTGCATATCTTCAAAACAACTTTCAAGATATATTAGTATATTTTGATAATCTGTTCACCTCTAGAGCAGATTACATGTAGATTATATTCTTTAGATCTGATAAAATAGGATGTGCTTTATGTTTCAGAGTTCTTTCAGTTCACCAATGTGTGGCTGAGGCAGACCACACACACAAAATGACATCATCATTTAAACTAAACAAATGATCCAACTCCAGCCTTTGGGTTAGACTTATCCAGGCCAAGAATATATACGATTAGTGAGCAATACGTAAAACACTTCTAAATATAGTCATGGCTCCAAGAACATACAAATAATAAAAGTGACTACAGGAAACAACAGTTCAGTTCTGTGTTTGCCTTTAAATAACAACAATAACAACAACATTGTGCTTCCACAGGGTTGTAGTGATTTAATAATAATAATAATACAGTTGATCAAATATAATTTAGTTACAAACAAAATTATTTTATTTTGATTATAAAGATTAAGAATACCTGGAGTGAGTAAACTGGAGTTTTGGGGTGATGTACAGTTAAATCATTTTTCACACAAAAAACCTGTTTACTAGTACTTCTCTACTTTGTGTGTGAGATCTTAATTTTTCTGTCAGCACTGGGGCTTTAGTCAACCACTACACAGCAGTGTTACTATGCTTCCCTTTTTCGATCCTTTTTGTATCAGTATTGGTCAAATAAATTGATATTCATTAAATTTGTTTTGGATAATATTCCCAATATTTTGGATAATAATTATTGGATAATATTCCTGAGGATGTGCAACCTAAACAGTCAACTTAGTACATTTGTGCTACCAGACATCTCACTGGGCTTACCTCAGCATGTCTGTTGGTGTGTGGAGCCTGATAATTAATTCCTGTGCAGTAGCAGTTACTTCATGTACCAGTGGAAGTTAATCATTATTAGTGGTTCTTTTCTGTGGAGCCCCGTCCTGCCCCAGTGAATTTTATTATTTACAGCATGATACAACTCTACCTGTTACAGTTTACATATATGTCAGCCTTATGAATTATAAGGCCAAACATTGTCTCTTATTATTTGGGTCTTCTTTCCAATGTTAAGATTAACAATAACTGACAAGATTGTTATATATATTATATATATATATATATATATATATATATATATATATATATATATATATATATATATATATATATATATATATATATATATATATATATATATATATATATATATATATATATATAACAATCTTGTTGGAACCGTACTTCTACAAACATGTTCTGAAATTCATTGGATTATTTTACCAACACAAACACATTTTTATATATATATATATATATATATATATATATATATATATATATATATATATATATATATATATATATATATATATATATATATATATATATATATATATATATATATATATATATATAAGGAGTATATTTTGTTCTTTATGTACATTTTAAGTAATTGGAACCTTTGTAGCTCCAACTCAAATTGCAATTTCAATTGTGACATACTGTGTAGCCCTATTTCTACCATTAAAAAAAATTTTAAAATTAAGATGTCAGACAGATCTGGTGACAGTTTGCTTTGAATTCTTCACTACATATTACCATGTGCCTTTAGGCAAGACACTTCCCGGTATAGTGCGATTCAGGGGGGACATTATAATAGAAGCTCAAACTGATCATGTGGGACACCCAAGAATGCTACTGCCCTCTAGTGACGCCTAAACGCAACAGCATTAAGGAGAGAACAAAGACTCTAAAAATGCTGCAGGCGCTTCCAGCACAACTGCAGTGACGCACCAACACACTGTGTGGTAGAGGGAGAGAAAGAAGAGAGATGTGAAGAAAAAAAGATATGTGAAGGAAGAGAGAGGAAGAGAGGGTGCAAGAGGGAGCGAGAGAAAGAAAGGGAGAGAAACAGGAGAAGAGAAAGGAAGGGAGAAAGAGAAGGACAGAGGAAGCGAGAGGGAGAGAGAAATGGAGGATGAGAGAAAGAGGAAAGAAGAGGGAGGTGAGAGAAAGAGCAAGGGTGAGAGAGGGAGGGAGGAGAGATAGGGGATGGAGGCATCAGCTGTGAGGCTGTTCAGAGCTGTGAGTGAAGTCCTGTTGAGATCTTAATGGTTGTTTACGCCATGATTCATCCACACCTGAAGACTTACATGGGACAAGTCCAACTGTGGCTTTATCATCAGGACAGGGCAGTGCATAGATTAGGAGACTTTCAATATTTTTCAATAGATAAATATATATATTTATTGATATATAAATAATATAATTTTTTTTTCAATATACCTAAAATACCTTTAGGTATATCTTTTCCGGAACCAATCTGTATGTGCACTACAAACCTGAAAAAAACAACAACCCAGCAACACTCAAATAAGCACAAGGAAAATCAAACAGGGAAATCATCCAAGGGCCTTTTCTGTCAAATGCATCAATTTAAAACTGGAGCAAACTTCAGTCATGATGACAAACACTTGGAAAACAATGTTACCCAGTTCAATCAGTGGTTATAGAACCAGCTTGATTTGGTGTGTTGTTCCTGTTCTTATCAGCAATGATTCAAAGTTTCATTGTGTGGTCCAGAGAGAGTAGAAATGAAAGATTGGTGTCAAATAGAAAGACTTTGTCACAGTTTAAGATATGACAGCATTTTTCATGATGAGGCAGATGACTTGGGCTAATCCAATACTGTAAAATGAACTAGCTTTGAATGTGTATAAGTCATTAATTCCC